CAGCATTTGACTGGGACATGTTTTGTCGTGAAGTATGTGAGGTGGCGTTGTTCTATAGAAGGGAGAAAATTGGTGGTCCAGGGAAGGTGGTACAGATTGATGAAAGCAAAATTGGAAAGAGAAAATACCATCGTGGCCATGTAGTGGAGGGTCAGTGGGTTTTTGGTGGCATAGAGGAAGATTCCCGCAAATGTTTTATTGCCACTGTAGAAGATAAGAAGGAGGAAACTTTGCTAAATTTAATAAAAGAATGGTTTGAACCAGGAACAAAAATTGTGTCCGATTGCTGGAAGGGGTACGTAAACCTTTCAAAATATGGATGCATCCATGAGAAAGTAAACCACTCCGTGGAGTTCGTTAATGAGGAGGGTTTCCATACGAACAAGATAGAAGGTCATTGGCGGCAGATGAAAGCGAAGCTTCCGACGCACGGTGGTAAAAAAAACACTACTCATCGTAACTAGCTGAGTTCAAATGGCGATACATCAACAGAGGAGAAGATTTGTGGAAGGTGTTTTCAAATGACATTAAAAAAAATTACAAATTAATTTTAATTGGACTAACGCACTTCCTTAAATTATCTAAGAATATTATTGAATCGGTTCGAGCAGTGTAAGGGCAAATATGAACACGTTGAAATTTGAGTTGTGTTAATCGTAACTTGTGTTGCGCGCGCTGCGTAGTCGGTGGCCAGGTCGTCAGGCCACTAAGCTGCGTAACTGTGTAGCTCCTTAGCCTAACCTAACCCGCGTAGCTGTGTAGCTCCGTAGCCGCGTAGCCACACATTCTAGATGTGTTTCGGATTGGCAGGGTATTCTGCAGTTAAGCCAAATTGACAATTTGCACTTAATGTAATTGACTGCTGCTTTATAAAAAATGCATATTAATGTTAAGATTGACCAAAACGTATCTTAAATAATAAATTTCATGATAAACATGTACAGGTATATACATCTCTTGGTATATTATGTTTAGCATATCTTTTATTGAACCAGTTTTAAGCCTCTAAAATTACTCCTTGTCTTAAAACCTTCACATTCAAGGTATTGAGAATTTCTTGGAATTATTTGGATTTTAGGGTTATTTAATTTGCCTCAAATTCAATTCCCAGAAATTCCCAAGTAATTCCAAGCTTTTCAAATCAGAGCCTGTTTGCATAGTTGAAAATGTTTGAGAATTCCAAGGAATTCCAAGTCCTCACTAAACTAGAATCTTCCTTTCCCAAAAATTCCTTGTAATTCCGAGCTTTTCATATCAGAGCTGATTTGCATAGTTGGCAGTTTTTGAGAATTGCTATGAATTCCCAGAAAACTGGGAATTCAGTTCGTAAGGGAAGTAGAACCAGACAGCCAGAAAGTACCTAATTAGTACTTGGCACAGAGCAGGAAACAAGCAATTAAATGATCAACCACGCAAGACCCAGACCAAAAAAATTGTACACAATAGGTAATGAGCCTGACATGAGCCAGACATTAGACTGACACTCACCATGATAAGAGTGGTAATTCAGCCTGAAAAGAGCCAGACCAAAAAAGTCGCACACAATAGTTAATGAGCCTGACACGAGCCAGACAGTAGACTGACACCCATTATGACAAGAGCAGTAATTCAGCTTGAAAAGAGCCAGAAAAGAATTTTTTTTCAGAACAAGGGAACGAGCCTCACGTGAGCTGAGCATTAGCCTGACGGCACAAAAATGATAAGAGATGAAGTTCCAAAAATGATAAGAGATGAAGAAAAGTTCCTTCATTTTAAAGAAATTCATTTACTTTTGCATTATATAAGTGTATCTATTTATATAAAATTAATGTATACGTACATTAATTTTAATTTAATGTAAATTCCTTTTAATTTTGATGGGTGTGTACGAATCTAGTTTCATGTACTTTTACACCTGCAATTTAGCATCTCTTTTGCCCTGCAGTGCCCTCTAAAGTCTACCCAGCGGAGAACATCACAGTGATAGAGGGAGAAAACAGGACTTTAACATGTAATGCCTCTGGAAGTCCTGTACTGACTGTGACATGGACAGGAGTTAGTACCGGTAGTCAGTCCAATGGAATCGTTCATTATCTTACAAATATAAGCAGGAATGATGCTGGGGAATACAAATGTAAAGCTATAAATGACTGTGGAACTAGCTCTGCTAGCACTTTCCTCACTGTGCTCTGTAAGTTATTATTATCATTAGTGATCTATGCTAGTTGATTTTGTGAGTTCCTAGATTCCTTAGCTGTGAGGCACCTCTCTTTTCTTAAGCTCGTTTTGGAACTATTATTAATACAGTAAGAAGCAATAGGGAGGCTATATTGTTTTACTGCCTTGAAAACTAAATACAGAAGTCAGAATACATAAGTGTGCTGGTTATGGAATTTCCTTTTTAGTATTCAACTTGATATATTGAGTTCAACTCGGTTAATATAATTCATGTCTGCAAGCAACCATGGAAGAAAATTTTGACAAACTACCTAGAATTGAGAATAGTGAACACTGAAGCTTTGTTATTCATTCATCAACCTGTCAGGGAGGCGCAAAAGGCGAGTGACATGTCAGCAGCTGATAGGTGATATCAAACACAAAATATCATGTAGTTTTTCACATGGAAAGTTACGGATTCCCTTAGTGCTGGATATTGTTGTAAAACCCTGAAGTTATTATATTAATAAGAGGAATTTATACTCAACAATTTTTGTTTTTATGCAGTGCCCTGCGGCATTTTAATTCTGATTCAATTCTTACAGTTAAACCAGAGAATTTCAAGTTCACAGTAAGTAAATCAACTGTGTGCCAGGGCACTGTGGTGACCTTCAACTGTTCAGTAGATGGAAATCCCCCGGTGGATACATATCAGTTGTTGGAGAATGATACACTTGTGAGTGATGGCAGCAACCGTCTTGGAACGTGGAGCAGGAATATGTCAAGTGGAGGAGTGTTCATCTATAAATGCATGGCAAACAACTCTGCAGGAACAGCATACAGTATGAGCTTAACTGTTACTGTAAATGGTGAGCAAACTCATTCCATCTACAATATACGATTATCATGGCAACGTTTTTAAAAATAGTCATCTTATTGCATAAATAGCGCTATCTACTGCGAGGATCGTGCATCATACGTATCTAATACCGCAGTTCAAAATATATGAACTTCATATATTCATTGTATCTTATACCGTGCATGTTGTTTAATTTCTTGCTCTCTCTTTCTATGCTTTCTATAAAGCATTTTGTTAATCTCACACTGGAAGCTTGTCAATAATATGTGGAAAATGAGGCTGCAGCTACATTGTACATTATTCCAGTGACTAATAATTGCCTCAGGGGAGAAATTCCTTCTTTTAAATTTAGTGCCCAACTGGTAACGCTAGACCACAGTGCAAGTGCTGTGTTAGTTACTTTGTAGGGCAGACTGTGTTTGTTACCACAGCTTGGCAAGTGGTCCTGGAGTAAAACACAAGCACATACCCACTGGTCTCGTTTTTGTACTGTACCTGTGGAAAGGTGTAACCCCTCCACAAATTTATTTTAGTCAGAAAATTTCTTTAAGGAGGACCTACAAAGCACAGCTAATTTTTTCTTTTCTTTTTTCTCTTTTAACTTAATCTAGATTTTTATTCAGTGCCTTTGATTTGTATGGTTTATCCTATAGTTAAAGGGAAACGTATACTTTATAAGCCCCCGGCTTCTAATGGGCTTTCTTGCTGTTATCTCCTCAGCTCCTTTGATTTTGAAGTTAATTTAGTTAGAATAGTTCTTTTTATTTTTGATTTATCATAAATTTTGTATTCGGTTAATTTTTTTTTCTGGTACTGGCAAATAAATGAATGATTGAATGAAGATGGAGTGCGCTCTTATGCTGCAAAGGTCCCTCTTCCAGAGAGAGTCTATCTCTAGGGGCTCTGAATGTCATTGGGTCAATTGTCTTAGCACACTGAAGGTCGCTCTCATAATTATTTCTTTAACTGGAGTTCACATATATGATTTTAACATATTCACAAACGTTGACTCATTGCTTCACTGGCTTATTACGAACCAACATAATTATCAGTTCCCAATTGGCTTGTGAGTTCAGTTTGTAGAGCACTGCACCGGTATTGCAGAGGTCATGGGTTCGAATCCCATACAGGCCTGAATTTTTTCCAGGCCTTGTTTTCACTATTGCTTTAAAGTAATGTTCATCACTGTGAAGATCACTCTCATACTTATCTCTTTAAGTGCAGTTAACATCTATGATTTTCATTTATTCACAAGCGTTGACACCTACAGTTCGTTTCAACCTTATCGCTGTCCATTTGCCTTTGACTCCTCAATCATGATTGCTGGGAATGCCAATGAGAATCATGTAATTGTGTGTACAAATGTGTGGACAATAACTCTCTAGGATCATAACACAGCATAAATGTTGCTGTCACCGTGAATGGTAATGAAAATAGCCCAGTTCTTAATAAACTATTCATGCAAAAACGGCATTTTCATGAGTATGCTTTTATGTACACTCAATTGCAAAAAATTCAAAACACAAGAGCTGAACGTTGAGACTCAACGGCTTTATGGGAAATATTCGCTCATAGAGATGTTTAGAATATTGTTTGGCTACAAGCCAGTGATTGGCTGCTATTTAAACCCTTCCCCATTTTCACTCTTCATTTTACAGTACCTTCTTCAATTATCCAAATAACACAACATCTGAATGTAACTGAAGGTGTCAGTGTGACTCTTATGTGTAATGTATCTGGAGTGCCCCTATCAATGGTGTCTTGGATGACGCCTAATGGTCAGTGTTTTAGTGGATACAAATTGGAGGTTGAAAACGTTAGCAGGAGTGAAGCTGGTGAATACAAATGTGAAGCCAGTAATGAGTGTGGCAATGCAACGGAGCTGGCAACCATCGATGTGCACTGTAAGTGGCTGATACAAATTAGAGAAAGTTCATGAGTTCTTTACTTGCTGTGGATTCCACATACATGCACACAGCTGTTTTTAATGTCATATTTGTTTAAGATTTTGTCACGGATCCTGGTCCAGTTCCATCAGAACCAACAAAGGTGAATAAGGATGTTATTTACGGCTCAGTTATTGGGGTCCTTGCCCTGATTCTCGCTGTCTTTACCATTTTCATTGCCTGGAAACACCGCAAACGTAAGTAGACTTAGTTACTTTATCCACTTGGTAAATATTCTGATACGAGAGGCTAGTAAGTGAGATGTATGAATTGTGGACGGCTGATGAAGAGAGATTCGATTGAATAAAATAGAGGAGAATTAGAAGGGAAAAGGAAAGAAAAAACAGCAATGAATCGGACAACTTGCAACAGTGTAAATGTTTCTCAAAATCTTTCAGTTCATGACACCAATCACCAACTTTTATTCGATATTATTATTGCTGATTAAAAGTGCTCACAGGCGAAGGAGCTTTAAGTGCGTCAATTATTATTGATGAGGATTTACAAATGCTGAAATAATAAACGCAGTTATTTTCTCTTTATCTGATACCGTTTCTTAATTTTTTCCACACTTAGGTGAAAAGGATGATCGGTAAGATGGCATTAATATAAAAAGCTAATAATGCTACAGCATTCGTAGATCCGATTAGCAGAAAACTTACTGCGCTTGTATTTATAGTCGTCTAAATACTTTCAGTTCTTATCGTTCGGAGAAGTTTTTTGTTTAACTTAGCCGAATAAAAGCGTGTCAGTTTGAGAAAAAAGGTAAGTTTAACGGATTCGATGTAGTTACGTTGCAGCGGAACCAATGTTTCAGTTGATATTTTGCACAAAAAAAGTGTTATTGAAGTTTATAGTAGTCAGTCTCCTTGAAATTAAGTCTAGCGTTTGATTCTCTTTCAGACTTAATAGAGGTGCTAGGAAGTCACGCACTCTTAAAATTGTAAGTACGAAATGCATTTTTTCCAGGAGACCCCACTCTGTGATGGACAGCAAATATCTGTCTAAATACATAGTAACAATTTTCTCAGGCCCTAATAGAGCACTTTACTATAGTTGATCAGATGAAGTTTGGATTTAAAAGTCAGATTGCACTTTGCCGACGGGTTGCCAATATTCCCAGAAATTGGTGTCACGGTTGCATTTACGCGTCTTATCTTCTTGGTACTAATTCGCAACTGCTTGAGGAAAGGGCACTAAAGTTAGCGGACTGATGTTATCATATAATCAAAAAAATCTTGTTAAATTTGGATAACCGCTTCAAAAACCTCTTCCGTGTTAGTCACCAATTATCATAAGACAGGTAACGGTTTCGGGTGAATTTTCTACATTCTGGATTGCAAAACAATTAAATCAAAATGGAGAAAAAAAGTACTATACCATGAAATAGATAATATTCCCAATCTTTATGGGAAAAAACAATGCTAGACTAAACGTGACTTTCATATCGCTGGAAAACAGAACGAGGGATTTGAACTGGAAAGCAGCAATGGAAACCTTAACACCATCGCGCATCATGGCCCAGGACATTACATGGACCTGAATGAAGTTAGATCACTGAATGGACCTGCCACAGACCCAACGCGAAGTTACTTAGAAATAAACGAATATGCTCCACTACATCCAAGGACGCGCTTGTGGGAAGTCGAAAGAGAAAACATTACAATTGAAAAGGTGATCGGAAAAGGTGCCTTCGGTCAAGTCGCTCAAGGAAAAGCTTCAAACCTTCGAGGAAGAGAGGAGACAATAACAGTTGCCATAAAAATGCTGAAAGGTACTCTATTCATTGCCTCAAGTCTGTTTTAGTTGAGATAAGGCTTAACTCTTACTGGGCAATCTTCCTCTCCTTTAGGTAACGCCAGAGATTTAGAGAGAAAAGATTTGCTGTCAGAGCTTGAAATCATGAAGAAACTCAAGCCCCATCCTCACGTCATCAAATTGCTGGGATGCGTCACCAAATCAGGTGAAGAAATTAAAATTATGAAACTTCTCAGTTTATGTCTGCTCGTATCACCCCGACAACTAAAGTATGAAACATATTTATGATTTAATGTTCAAACTTACTTAAACTGACATGGTTTATAATTTATTGCCCTCTCGCTGCACCCAATTCCGTCATTGTTGATGCCACAGCACTGACGAAGGGCGTTTGTACCATGTGAACTAAGTAAATAGTGAATTTTTGCTACGAGCTCCCTTCAACTTGATTTTAATATATTTCTCCTGTTTAAAACAGACCCTTGTTTGAACCTTAAATACCCCTGCACAAGGTTTTCGTTTTCCCATCACTGCAATTACCTCTGTGAAGTGATGATGAAGACGACGTGCTGTGTTTTTCGTACAAATTCTTTTAGATCCTTTGCTTGTTCTAATTGAATATGTCCCATATGGAGATCTCCGGGGCTATTTGAGAAAGAGCCGGCATTTAGAAGATAACTACTTCAAGGACCCGGATATAAAACCACAAACGAGTTTGACTTCCCAGCAGCTGATGAAATTTTCCTGGCAAGTAGCTGATGGTATGCATTATTTGTCCTCGAAAAACGTAAGTCGGTTTTTTAGTATACAAATAATTTTGCTGACTCGGCGGCAATCGATGTAAGGGATACTTTATTCATTTAAATTTTCGTAGACATGTTTACAATAAATAAATGTATACTTGGATGTAAGTGACTTAAGTGTCCCTGTCTGAGAAAGTGTTCCAGGGGCCAGAAGTGGGGGTTAACCGATTCGACTGAGACTTGGCATAAAAGTTGAGTGTGATAAGATCTTTCAAAAGCCACTTTGGCTCACTTCTCTGACTGTTTGTTCTGGAGTTTCAGGAGGGGGTCCCATTTGTGGCCTGTGAGCACCAAAAATTCCTCCCTCTAGTTGGCATTTTGAAAGTGCTATAAAACTCCATTGGCAAACTGTGCTGCCAAACGAATTTGACCATGGACTCTACTATAGTGGAGCTTTTAGTTCCTAAATATAACTTTGTTCTCAAGTGATTAGACAGAGAGGAGCCTGGGGCTAAAGTTAGGTCAAATTTGAGGTCAACATCATTACCCAAAATTGCCATTTTTCAAAAAACCATAACACTTACCTGCCTTCTTGCACAACTTTCATACCAAATCCAGTATGGACTTTAGTGACCCATTTATCAAAATCAGTTGAGAAAAATTTGGCTTATTGAGGTTTGTTGGGTTTTTGGCACAAACTCTCCATGCCCCTCTAAGGCCACGCAAAATGGAGTTTTGAGCATAATTCATGCTATAAACGGACCAAATTCTTGACATAAGGCCTTTATTTTATATTAGGTGAGTGAAATGAAACACTAAAGCTAATCCAGTGTCATTGTCTAGAAATACTTCGACTTATAGCTTACAAATGCAGTAAGAAGGCCTCTGATTAGCACTACGTACACCCAGGTTTAGCAAATAAAGGTAATTTTTTTCTTTGAAAACCAAGTACCCATCATAGAACACAAAGATGATGTCCTCACTTAGATATGACAATCCTCTTTTAGAGATGTTTGAGTTTCCCCTGATTTATATTTTTCAAGTCATATTTCCATACATACTATACTCACAAGCATGCAAAGTCTCTATATTTTGTCGGACCCATTTATCTATGCAGTATGAAGTGAGCTTAAGGAAAATGACTGTTAACAGAAGATCTATGTGTAAGACGGCCAAAACGGTCGACGTAAGAACAAAAGATCCGAGGGAAGATTTACAAGTTTATTAAACAGCAAATAAATGCAACGGTACAAAAAAAACGGGAACGAGTGACACTAAACAATAAATAAGAAAACAAGGCTCCAATGAGCTAAATGATGTAACAAGATTAAAATGGATTAGGAGAAAGTACTTAACACTAAAGGATAACCTACAGACAGAAATAATTCAGTAGAAGAAAGGAAACAAACAAAGTACTTGAAAACAGGAAATTGTGTGACAGAAACTATCAAAAATAGTGATTGCTACACGAGGCATGAATTCAACAAAGACTACGAGCTAGGCTTAATATTACAACTTGAGCTAATACAGTATAAAACAGTGAAAGGGGAAAATGAAATTACTAATGTAATGAACCCATAATTTGGTACTGAAAACACAGGAATCATAGCAACAATGAATTGGAAGCAGGTAAGCAAAATATTACAGCTGCTAATACGAAAACAATTGCAGTTTATATAGCAGAGAAATTACATGCTGTGTGACAAAGGTCAGAGTAAATAAATGAAATACAGTAGTAAAGATAAAAGGAATATGTGGCTAAACTAAGAAAATTCTAACCCGAAAATCACCACAAAAATACAAGTGGAAACAACTACATGCTAAGCTTAGGGCTCAAACAAACATAAAATACTGAAACATACCAAAAACTAGTATAGCTCGGAGTCCGCTTTAAGGGCACTCTCAGGAAGGCAACAAATCAGCTGAACTTACCGAGCAAACGGTTGTAACTTATAGTAAAATACAGTTAAAGGTAAAAATAACTTAAAACCAAATATGGGCTAGGAGCGGTCAATTAAACAGGAATTACGTAAGGAAAATCGGTGTTTACTCTTACACAACAGGACAAGGGCAGGTACTGGAATAATACAATTAACACATTACTAACACAATTAACACATTACTAACACAATTAACACATTACTAACACAATTAACACATGACTAACACAATTAACACATTACTAACATTACTGACAAATCGCTAAAATTCCAGAGAATAAAATAAACAGAAGAACAAACATGTTTGAAGTAGAAAATAAGCCTAAGTGACTCTGTCACATATGGTTAAACTTTTGATAGCTTTGCTACCTCTTGTAAATACGCATGATGGCATCAGTAAAAGAGCAGGACGTTACATAAAAGTTGTAGTGAGTAGCGTCCAGGTGACTTGTGATCCATTCGATTTCCCTGGTACGTTAGAGCTTAATAAATCATATCATCCGACAGTAAATAAGAAATCCACTGTTGGAAGAGCTGGATAACAAATAGTTTGTGTCGCAGTTTATGTGAAACATGCCACGCAACACCTCGAGATGCGATTGTTATCATATCGACAAGCCCACCATATTGGACGTGAGAGTGAGAGGACTGGACCAAGTCGAGGAGTCACACAACCTTCACTGAGTTAAAAGTAACGCGGGTTTGTCGACCATCAGAGACCCTCTTAGTGTATTTGTAAGTTATGAGTCGAGGTATTTCTAGATAATGACACTGATTTGGCATTGATGTTTCATTTTCACTTACCTAATACAAAATAAAGGCCTTATGTCGAGAGTTTGGTCTGTTTATAGTATGAATTATGCTCAAAACTCCATTTTGCTGGGCCTTAGAGGGGCTTAGAGAGTTTGTGCCAAAAACCTAACAAACCTCAATAAGCCAAATTTTTCTCAACTGATTTTGATAAATAGGTCACTAAAGTACATACTGGATTTGGTATGAAAGTTATGCAAGAAGGCAGGTACGTGTTACGGTTTTAGAAAAATGGCAATTTTGGGTAAAACACAATTTTTTAAGTGCAGATTTTCTGAAGTAAGGAAAATTTGGTAAAAACCACAATCAAAGAGACGCTTCTTTGCCACGTCAGTATATGTTGGGTAACATGTACTCTACAATGTATCTTTCTGACCAGGACACTCAACTATATTGGAGAAAAATAGTTTAATAGTCCATAAAAACCACTCCACAGTTGAAATGATTACAACAACTTTTACAACAAGGACAGAATTTCTTTTGAGAACTATTTACTGAAATTTATACATACGTGCTTTAGATATACCAAGTAGGATATGGCATATCTGACAGCGATTTTTCTGAGAATCTTTTTTACAAGTGTATATATGCAGACATCACCACAGAGATGATAATCCAAAAGGACTTAAAAAATCATGCTACATTATACCATGTCACTTAAGGAAATCTTTGGAAATTTCCATGCATATTTCTGAATCGATTATAACGTTACTGAACATCTTACATTTTACCGTGTCAATGGAAGATCTATGGAAATTTCCATATACATGTCAGGATCAATTATAACCGTACATCTTAAATTTTACTCTGTTAATGGAAGGTCTATGGACATTTCCATGCACATGTCTAGATCAATTATAGCTGAACATCTTACATTATACCATGTTAATGGAAGGTCTGTGGAAATTTCCATGCATATGTCTCGATTGATTACAGCTGAACATCTTACATTGTACTATTGTTAATGGAAGGTCTATGGAAATTTCCATGCACATGTCTAGATCGATTATAGCTGAACATCTTACATTATACCATGTTAATGGAAGGTCTATGGAAATTTCCATGCACTTCTGGATCGATTACAATGAACACATTCTTTACATTTTGCCGTGTTTAAATGAAAAGGCCTTGAAAATAATTTCCATGCACATCGTGGGGTTCAGCTATAACTGAAGATCTTAGCTCACAATTTACCATGTCAATGGATCTACGGAAATTTCCATGCACATTGTGTGGATCAGCTATGACTGAAGATCTTACATTTTACCATGTAGATGGAGGATCTATGGAAATTTCCATGCACATTTTGTGGATAAGCTATAATTGAAGATCTTACATTTTACCATGCTGATGAAAGATCTATAGAAATTTCCATGCACATGATTGTGTGCATAAGCTATAATTGAAGATCTTATATGTTACCTGAAGGTGATGAAAGAAGGAAATTTGTGAGCACAAGTGTAGATCGATTTTAACCAAACAATTCAAACAATTCTTACATTTTCCATGTTACTGGAAGATCTATGGAAATTTCCATGCACAAGTGGGAATCTATTATAGCTGAAAATCTTACATTTTACCATTCTACTAGAAGATCTATGGAAATTTTCATGCATAAGTGTGAATTGATTATAACTGAAAATCTTATATTTTACCATTCTACTGGAAGATCTATGGAAATTTCTATGCACAAGTGTGGATCAGTTATAACTGAACACCTTATACTTTACCATGTTACTTCAAGGCTGATGGAAATTTCCATACACGTCTAGATTGTTGATGACTGAACATCTTACAATTTTAACCATGCTTAATAACAGATCTGTGGAAATTTCCATACACGTGCCTAGATCATCTTAGACATTTTGGGACTAATTTGATGGGTAAGTTTCGATGGAAAAACCTAGATACATGCATACATATGCATTTCAACTTTTTTTTAATTCTTTGTATCTCCTCGTTAAGTACTGGACAGACTCCTTTCTTAGTTTATCATTCTCGTCTAATTCGATGTCAAAATAGATTAAACTTTCTTTAGGAATTTCGCTGGAAGTCCATCCAGGCCATGATACCCACTTTCCTTTGTAAGTACCCTTTAGCCACTGCACAGTGAATGAAGAGTTAGTGACTTCCTTTACCTTTGCCAGATGGGGAGGTTTGTAGTTTCCATCAAGATTAAACGCAACAATACTACCTGGCAGAACTCCTTCAAGTTATCTACCTCGGTGACCACGGGCTGAGCCGTCTGCCTCCTATAAGCTCCACTGTACATCTGCAATATTGTAAACAAATCATAAATAAAGTCAAGTTATCTATACACAACTTAATTTAAATCAAAGGACAATTATGTGAAAGCCTTTTGATAGGCAAGTGTGTGTGTGGTCACAAAGGAAAATTCAGCTGTGGCTGACACTATTTGAATAAAACACATGATGGAAAGGTTTGGTGGGCACGTACACTTTAGCCAAAATAGTTAAGTTTGCATGAGTAGGAGGCTTGAGTTGAGCATACATTGTATGTCTTAATTTTGAGCATAAATCACCTCTGGCACAGGAGCAACTTGAGTTCTGACCACATCATCCACATCCTCAGGGACACCATCAGGTTTTTCAGTTGCCCCAGAAAACCCACACTATTCCCAGCAGCCTCCAATTGTTTTTGTCTTTCTTTAACTCTTTCCTTGTTTGTAATGATTTCTTTCAATGGCTAAGTAACTGTCCTTTTTGGTGGATGCCATCTGGTATGTTCAGGGTCAAGTAGTGATGCCAAATCTTCTTTATGTTGTTCCAGAAACAATCCTTTGAAATACTTTTCAATTTCTGATCTGAGCCATTGAAGCTCAAGCTTCTCTGTATCTGGAGCAACATAATCTGGGGGGACATCTACATTTATTTCTGCATCAGCCTGACAAAAATAATGAAAAGCAAGCTTAAAAAAATTGTAGCACAAACACTTATCCCAGAAATTTAATATTTGAAGGACATGAATCAGACAGTGGAGAATGAAATGACTTCAACAATAAATAAGCTTCTAATTAGTATTACCTACAGTAATACCATCAAGCTATAACAGAGATCAGTTTGCAGCTTTTCTAATAGCACTTGTCATTGTTGCTAATATTATTATTATTATTATTACTATTATTATTATTATTATTGGTCTTGTATAATGCTAAGAATTAAAATGTAAGATCATCACACTCCAACTGAGCAAAACAGATATCTTCAGTGTATGAACAGAGTATATTTATTAATGGCAACTATAGTTGAGATTTTTTGTTTTTATTTATTCTCCATTGTACAGCAGATATTTCCACTTACTTTCATTACAGTTAACCACTGTTCTGGATCAGGGTTTACCGGTTTCCAGTTTTCCTCTTTGTCACTCCCCCAGTTCTTGTAAGTGCATAACGACTTTTCCCAAAGGAGCTTTTGTAAATTTAAAAGCATGAGGATTTGAGATGTTGTGGAGTGCAGTTGAAAAGGGTGACATCCACTCCTTCAGAGCAAAAACATGCTCAACCTTTACAGCCTTTGGAGTTGGGGTGTAACAACTCTCAAAGGAGGTCATAAGCTCTACCAATTAACAAGAGAAAACATCTTAAGATATTGTATCCATCCATATTGTCAGGAGAGAACAAACATCAATCAATTGAAGGCTTAAAATATAACAACAAGACCATCTCGATAATTATACAAATCTACTCTTCTGCAGATATTTTCTTTTCATTTTGTTTGTTAATTGGATAACACCAGCTTACATATGGTATCCATGTCAAATGGCAGGTGGTCAAATTTGAAAAGATAAATTCAGAACAGTCATTTTTCAAGCTAGAAGTTCACTGATTGCATTCCTCCTAACAGTACCTTTAAAGGTTCTTGTGTCCTTCTTTACCAGAAATTCAGAAAGCCCGTAAGACACAATTTAATATCACTATCAATTAACAACAACATATGTGTAAAATTAGAATTTTGAAGCTGGCAATAGTATCATCCCAGCAGTTAAACTTTGACTAAGTATTCGGCAGCATTATTAAGATGGTTCTGCAATGTAACTATTCTCAAAGAGAGTTTTCCTCTTAACTTAATTCAATGAAAATGAAACTCTGATTCCTACTCGTTAAACATCTGGTCAACAGCTTCATGAGTGTGTCAAACCATTAAGAAATTTAGTTTTACCTGTAAAGACAAATTGGATTTGAAGGAATTTTTTTTTTCATGATCACTGCAATCCCCACCCCATAGTGCCAGTAGATTGTCACAAATCATTAATGATAAATTATTAAGATAAACTATTCATTGAAATGTATCTCTTTTCAAACATCATTTCCTTATGAGCAGTACAACATACCTTAACGATTTGTACTCGATCGAGGCTTCCCTTTGTCCACTAAGATAATAAGGGATGTTTTGAAGGTCACCAGGAAACAAACATGAGGAATCACGTTATAAAGGGATGGTTACAATTACGTTTTATTTAATTTAGTCTGATTTATGATTTAGACAATCTACGAGAAGAAACTTGTTGGTTCAACTAAAGGACAACATAAGATGTACTGTACCTTTCATTTGGTTTGGCATGCGTCCATAGCCAATCCAGCACGAATTGCCTTTATTGCAGCGAGTTGTCGCCTTGACGATTTGTACGTATCATGCACATCTCTGCAAGATCCATGGCTTCTATAAGCATTTCCCAGCACAACCAGATTTTTGTTGCTATAAATATAAAGAAACCCACAGAATTGATGAATGTCTCGTAACTTATGAGTCGATATTAGCCTAAATCTCAGAGTCTGAATCCACTTGCTCAAATATCCGTCAAAATCACAAGAGCGCCCTTAGATCGTCTGAGAACCAGGCTAAATAATCGCCTTCGTGCCTTCATTTTGCAGTAAATGACTGTCGATCGTAAACAACAAAACAGCGAACGGCGGAAACAAATCACCCGAGCAGCCTCTTTTCCTCTACTAAAAACGACCAAAACGTTTACTCCTCTCCGCTTCTTCTGCTCTATATGGCATAGCCAGCAACGAAATAATATTGGCTGTTTGTTTGGTTTTTTTTTTTACGCTGTTGGCTGTTTTAGTGTGTAAGTCCACTCTGTAATCGCTATTTCGAACCCAGTCTCTCTAATAAACTACACTAAGGAGTGCGTGATGATATGTCATTGTGGGAGTTCGTGATACTCCTTATGTAATATTACCACAATTATCACTTTGGTTTTGAGAGCCTCACCTTTCAAAAAAGAAACAACAACTTTGAGTTTAAATTTACAAGACATGTTTCGACATTCTCATGTCATCTTCAGTTGCAAATGAGCATTTAACTGTTGTACATTTGAATTTAAATTAAGGTACGTTACAAACTACGTGTCAGGGCTTACGTTACATTTGAATGTTAAAAACGCGAAAGATGTAAATAGCGCGCGCTTGACTAGATCAAAAAATAAATAGATAAATAAAAAAAAATAGATGTAATAATAATAAAAATAAATTAAAAGACCAAGGAACAACATAATTAAAAGGAAAGAGACAATTCTAGATGTTTCAATTGCTGATTAAGGATAGGTTTTTCCCACTTAATATGCAATGCCTCTTTGATCTTAATTTGGTATTTTGAAGCGGCAGAATCTAAGATCGTGAAACATTCAGTATCACAAGAGTCAAGACAGGCCCTTGATGATTGCAGGTGCTTGTAAATATGCGAAGTTTTGTCCGACAAGAGGTGCTCACGAACTCGTGTACAAATGTGGCGAGTGGTCTCACCAATATAACTGACATTACAGCCAGCACATGAAAATTTATATATGACACGCGAACGTAGACCTAGCGGTACTGAATCTTTCACACTGAACATGTTTCTGAGTTTAAACGTACTGAAGACTAACTTAA